GCACACTGTTATTTAGCTTATTTTTTTTTTTTTTTATAAGAAGACTTTCTGGACGAAGGAAGTAGTACATTACATTAAATTCTGGAGCAAGTTCTCTCACTTCCGTGAGCACTTACAGTAGCATTGCTTTAGATGTTATTTTGGCATCATAATCAATAGATGTTTTTTAAAAAATTGTGGTTTACCAACAGCAATTACAGTGGGATTCAGAGAAGGAAGATCATTTCATGCTAGGGTAGTCAGTGAATGCTTTTAGGAGGAGGCAGAGTTTGACATGAGCCTTGAAGGATGCCTAAAAGTTATCTAGAGTTATCCTAAGAGTTGCCTAAGAGTTATCCTGTGGCTAAACAAAGAATTATATGTTAAGAATATAGAAGATATGATGGGATCCCTGAATCTGAGCAAAATGGAAATAAGAAACACTGAGACATACACTAGAAAATGTAAACTGGCCAAATATAGAGGAATTCAGAGATAATTTTTAGAGGGAGAACAATTTAAGCATTTGACCAAAGGAATGTCCCAAAGTATCAAATTATCTTTCAGGAAGCTTAGTCTGATGTGGCTGCACAGGCTATATTTTCACTGGGAAGAGTGGCAGAGATTAGTTAGGAAGCCATCTGCAGGATTTCCAAGGGAAGGTGATTAAGCCTGAACTATATTAATGGTGATAGGAATAAAAAAATAAACCAGATTCCACAAATATTTTTAAAAGGATCCTTAGAACTAGGACTTAAGAGACACCAGGAGGAAGAAAATCCCCCAAAATATAATACTTCTCAAGGGAATGGAAAGTGTATTGCCAAGCCCAGTAGTTGTCAGAATCAGCTTCGATGTACTTGTACCTAACATTGTGCCAGGAATACCTCAGCGAAGCCATACTAGAACCTGAAAATTACTGTTCATTGTTTGGGGTTTCATAATCAGGACTAGGAAGAAAGTGGATTTGTTAGGAGATCAATAAATAAGCATTTGTTTTTTTAAAATATTATCTTAAGTTGCCGTTTTCTTTTCCAAGGTGGTGATAGTTTATTGGATATAAGCTCTGAAGCTGATCAACAAGATCTTCTTGTCCTACTGCAAGCAAAAGTTGCTTCCCTTACCTTACACAATAAGGAGTTACAAGATAAATTACAGGTAGGTAAACAGATTGCTACCACAGATTATTCTGTGGAGTCAAGCTATTGGTATTTTTAAAGGTAGTCAGATGTATTTTGTTTTAAATATCTAAATACATTTCTTCCTTTTTTAAAGTTGTTAGCTTTAAGCATTTTATGTTTTCACATTATTTTGTTTCTTGAGAGGGGTGTCCATTGATTCTATTTACATAAATTGGTAAATTACATATAATTATATATATTATTGTATTCATGGTAATCATATTTTATTAAAACTTAAATGTAGATTATATAGACAAAATTTACATAAATAAAATATTTTTAAACTATATAGACATAATATGATAATTTATATATACAAAATTTTATATAACTTTTTTGAGGTGTGGGCTTTAGTATGTTGCCCAGCCTCATGTTGAACTCACTATCCTCCTCCTTCAGCGTTCAGGGTAGCTGGGATTACAGGTGTGTGCCACTACATCCAATGATATTAAAATTTTTATACTAAAAAATGTAAATATTTATATAGATGTATCATATAGCCATTCCTTTAGTAAAGCTGACCATCTCAGTCTTACAAACTTAGTAATAGCTGTATTATGCCCATCCCCCACAACTGGAATGATATAAGAAACAAAGGAAAAATTTGAATCAGAGGGTTTATAGTCAAAACAATTCCAATGTTTTTAAAATGACACAAATAGCACATGTTAATAAAACACAGAATCTTTGTGTCATTAATCCAACTCTCATGTTCCACATTTTTATCATGAAAAAATATGCATATGAAATGATCACCTGCTAATCTGTACCTAAATTTGTCCCTTTCAATCCAGTTGCTTGCTCACTTAAGCACACCTTTGATGCCATTTAATTCTTGCCTTTTTCTTTCAGGCCAAATCACCCAAGGATACAGAAGGAGATCTAAACATTGGCTCTTTGCATTCTACTCAGTCTGATTTGGTGCCTTCCCTGGGCAAACCTAGTGATGCTGATCCCCCAGACTCCAAATCATCTCCACCTGATGTAACACATTTTGCAGACAACAATATCAGAATTCAGCAACTACAAGAAAGTTTGCAAGACTTGCAGAAGAGATTGGAGAGCTCTGAGACAGAGAGGAAACAGCTACAGATTGAGCTTCAAAGCCGAAGGACAGAACTAATGTGCTTGAATAACACAGAGATTTCAGAGAATGGCTCTGACCTCAGTCAGAAACTTAAAGAGACTCAGAGCAAGTATGAAGAGGCCATGAAAGAAGTCCTCAGTGTGCAGAAGCAGATGAAACTGGGTCTCCTATCACATGAGAGTGTGGATAGCTATCCGTGTCTCCATGACCTGAGGGTCACTGATGAGAAAATAGATGTGCTAAAGCGAGATCTACAGAACGCATTACAAGAAAGTGAAAGAAATAAAGAGAAAGTAAGAGAGTTAGAGGAAAAACTTGTGGAGAGAGAGAAAGGTGCTGTGATTAAGCCACCAGCAGAAGAGTATGAGGAAATGAAAAGTTCATATTGCTCTGTTATTGAGAATATGAATAAGGAGAAAGTGTTTTTGTTTGAGAAATACCAAGAGGCCCAAGAAGAAATAATGAAATTGAAAGATACACTAAAAATTCAGATGACACAAGAAGCTAGTGATGAAGCTGGAGACATGAAAGAGGCCATGAACAGGATGATAGATGAACTTAATAAACAGGTAAGTGAGCTGTCACAGCTGTACAAAGAAGCCCAGGCTGAGCTGGAGGATTACAGGAAGAGGAAGTCTTTAGAGGATGTAACAGCTGAATATATTCACAAAGCAGAACATGAGAAACTGATGCAAGTGTCAAACGTGTCCAGGGCCAAAGCAGAAGAGGCACTTTCTGAAATGAAGTCTCAGTATTCAAAAGTGTTGAATGAGTTGACCCAACTCAAACAACTGGTAGATACACAGAAAGAGAACTTTGTGTCTATCACAGAACATTTGCAAGTGATAACCACCCTGAGGACAACTGGGAAAGAGATGGAAGAAACAATAGGCAGTCTTAAGGAGCACCTCGCAAGCAAAGAAGTGGAAGTGGCAAAGCTGGAGAAGCAACTTCTAGAGGAGAAAGCCGCCATGACCGATGCAATGGTACCTAGGTCTTCCTATGAAAAGCTCCAGTCATCCTTAGAGAGTGAAGTGAGTGTGCTAACGCTGAAACTAAAGGATTCAGTAAAAGAGAAAGAGAAAGTTCATGCAGAGGTTGCCCAGCTTCGGAGTGAAGTCGCACAGGTGAAAAGGGACAAGGAAAACATTCAGGCATTCTTGAAATCCAAAGAGGAAGAAGTAAATGTACTTCTGCAAAAATTCCAGCAAGCTCAGGAAGAAATCGCAGAAATGAAAAGATATTCTGAGAGCTCTTCAAAACTGGAGGAAGATAAAGATAAAAAGGTAGGTGATATTCTATTTCTGTTGGGTTTCTAGCAAAAAGTCTCAGGCCCTTCAATCTTTACTATATTAAACATATATAGGATCTGGGCACTATCCTGTTTTGGGTGCTGCATAAAGAATAATATTCTGGATACTCCTTTCAATAGAACACCAGTTTTCCTCTACTTCTCCATATGCTAAAGCATTTTCATGTATGTGGAGCATATCTACCCTTTAAAAATCATTTCCTAGAAGGTCTGCCAGTGTTGGGTAAAAGTGTCTGAAAAGGGTGAACTTCAGTTCTTCTCTTTGGATGTGTTGGAAGCTGCTGCAGCAGGCCAAAAAGCTATAGAAACTGACTCTCCGTCATATAGAGAATAAATACTCCCAGATTTAATCTTGTTTCCCAAAGTATGGGCTTTCTACCCTAAGTCAGTGGATCTGGTACAGAGAAAGGAGGGAAACAAAGCTTAAATTCAGGATGGTTCTTTGCCTGAATCTGTTGTGTGCTCTAGTCCTCTGAGACAGAGGTTCTCAATGATTGTAAAGCATAATTTATCTTTATTTTGTAATTATTATGAATATTTCAAAAAGAGCTTCAAAAGCCTATGGAGTGAAGATAGGGAATTGTGGCCTCAATTGGGAGCTGCTGACTGTTCGTGTCAATAGTATTGGACAAGATATAGTTTCTCCAAATACAAAATGTCTCTAATTCTACTTCTTTTAGTCACATCCCTTTTAAGAGTAAAAGAAGGTCAGTGTCCCTCTTGCACCAAAACATAATATGGAACTCATGGGCCGTTATCTGAATGGAACAGAAATAGAAGGTTTTGTCAGTTTGGCTCATTTTGTTCTTTCATTTTATGGGCTTTCTTTAAAAAATAGAAAATAAAAAGAATTCAATTCCCACAGGACAACAGACATGACTGTGTTGGAGGTATAGAAATATCTGGAACTTTGCTACTGTAAAGACATTATTACCTATTTGATGCAGTTTTCCTTTCTTACTAGATAAATGAGATGTCAAAGGAAGTCACGAAATTGAAGGAGGCCCTGAACAGCCTCTCACAGCTCTCCTATTCAACAAGCTCATCCAAAAGACAGAGTCAGCAACTGGAAGTGCTGCAGCAGCAGGTCAAACAGCTACAGAACCAGCTGGCTGTGAGTGGGCTTTTTCCTGCTGCCTGGTTTGGGTTGGAGGACTGGGAAAATTATATACTTCCTCAACTCTTAGAAAGCCACCATGAACAGAAAGGTTTCCTGCCTAAAGAGATGTTCCACTTAACTGAGCAATGACACTGATAGATTTCCTAGGCATTATCTGCAGTGAGATGAATTAGGCATGTCCTTGGGAAGGTAGGAATTGGTACAACAGTGGGAGGACACTTATCCTGATAATTTTTCACCCTTCTTCTTTTCCTGCAGTGGTCATTTCCTGTCTCTAGTAGTGGCAAGAGCTTTTTCTTATTATGGGCCATAATCTCTAGTAGTTGTAGATATACAAAATTGAAGCTGTTTTTTGGCCCCTTGCCAGGCAGGCGCTGTGACTCTGAGCTACAACCCCAGCCCTTGCCTTGAATCTTGAGGGGATGAGTTACTCACCTTTACTAGTCACTTAGATGGCCATTGTAACCTTGGCAACAGCAATTCCAGTGGAGGGGTGAGATAGAATCTGGACTGCAGTAGGCTGATTACTAGAAAAGTGAGTTAGTAGATAACTATCTGTTGGGCTGTAGAATCACAGCAGAAGTAGACTGCAGTAGGTTGGCTGGAGAGATAGGAGATGGTGATTGTGAGTTGGGGTGCTTTTGTGATTTCAGAGGTGGTAATAACACTGCCAGGATTATGGCCAGCAGAGTGAGTGTTTGAAAGAAAGAGGAGCAAGTCATTGAAGCTGAAGTTGAGGAACTGAGAGACTCAGGTGTGGGGTGGACCATTCTCTCCTATTAAAATCAACCAAATGATGACAGAAGCAGGAGTGTAGAAGAAGACCATAATCAGAAGATAGTCATAAATAATTATATGGGGATAGCAGAAAGGTGGAAAGGAAACGAAGAGACTGAGTATCCCTAAGCCAAAGCTATGAAATCTGACATGACAGATTCCAGTTTTGGAGTATTTCTGATTTCAGATTTTCTGATTAGGGATATTCACCTAGTAGTTTTATTAAATATTCCAAGATCTAAAATGCAAAAATTCTTCTAGTCCTGAGCTTTTTGGATAAGTGATAGTCTATACCACATGTACCTTCTTATGTATGAACATCAGAGAACTGAGATTTCAAAAGTTGTCCTTTAATAGGAAGGATATCTCACCTTCTGATACTGATATGAGGTGAGAATGGGTATTGGTAGGCATTTATAGATTTCTGAAGTAAACCATATGTGATGGTCTTGCTTTTCATGAAGTAGGATCTGGGCTCTCTTAAAATGAGAAGAGTTTAGAGCTAAATTAGTATTCTGGAAACAGTTGATGAGAGGAATCACAGCAATGACTCAACAAGGAGCAATAAAAGCATCATCAGCTATACAGAAGAACCATTTGAGACTGGAGCTACCAACTTTTTTATCTACTTGTACTAACAGCTAAATAATTGAGCTCTCAGGGATTATGCAACATTAGCAATACCATGGGAGATCAATAACTCCCTTAGAAAGAATAGATTAACAAATATTTGGTCATTATAGAAAAATGGAAAAATACAGAAAACTAAATAGACCCCATAAATAAACATCGCTCAGAATTCAGCAATTTGAGAGATCGTATTTTGCATTTGAACTTATTTTTTGGCAATATTTACTTTGAGTACTATGTCTAATGGTATAATTCTGTATTTTTAGTAGAAATTTTGGATTATACTATAATAGTTTTTACATTATTTTTCTTCTGGAGTTGACAACATGAAATAGGTAGAATATTTTCTAAGAATACTGACTAGTGTTCAGAAATACACAAGCCAATGAACTCAGCAGTTTTAGAAGCCTCCTATGTTAGTATATAGTGGAGGGAATCAGTTGTGCAGCCTTTTATGTCAGTGTTCTCATAGTTTTTTGTGTGTTTATTCCTTAAAGATCATCTAATATTGCTAGTAATGTCAGATTGTCTCTTTCTAGGAATGCAAGAAACAACACCAGGAAGTCGTATCAGTTTACAGAATGCATCTTCTATACGCTGTGCAGGTATGGCTATAGCACCCAGTGAAATATCTGGACATTCTTAAGAAATATGGGCAAATATTGCCCAAACTCCCATCATTATAGTAGAAGAATCCTTTTCATTGGAAAACTTCAAAATGTCTTTTGCTTTGCTTCAGATTTTGTCAAAACACTCATGCTCTCTTGACTAGGAGCAGCTTCATCATTTGTTGAGAAATGAATATATAGTTCTTTTCTCCATCGAGAAGACCCTAACTTTATTTTCCAGTCATCCCTATATTCTTAAAGCTCTCAGCACTGTCTTACCCGTGTGATTGTTGATATTCTGGCTAGCTGGCCTCACCTTTGTAACTAAGAGTGCAGATTCCCTTTGCTAAAGTCTTTGGTAGATCTAGCTTCCTCACCCTGCAGATGGGTAAGAGCCCTCTCTTTGACACAGTTCCTCATGGAAATGCAAGAATTAATGTATCTTACATTTCCCTTAAAGCTTGTCATCTCATTCCCCAGGGGAAAAAATGATAAGACCTAATCAGTTTTCTAATAAATGTCTTTTGTGTGAATTTCCTAGGGCCAAATGGATGAAGATGTCCAGAAAGTACTGAAACAAATCCTTACCATGTGTAAAAATCAGTCCCAGAAGAAGTAAAGTGGATTCCTTGGCAGGACACTGCCCCTATTCTCCATCTTTGTTGTAGATCTGGAGTTGGTGGCGACCACTACCATTGTTCTCATTTGTGTTATGCACTGTGACCAGCATAGCTTCTTTCCTTTCCAAAGTTTCTGGGGATTGGTCCCGGGCGAAGGCTGTTCTCCACAGAACTGCTTAGAGACTTCAGACCAGCAGAGGTGATAGTCCCAGTCATCCTTTCAGATTCCACAGTTGGGATTAGGCACATCTAGAAGTCTGATCCTGGTGTTGGCAGCTGGCCATCCTGCTTGGTATCTGAATAGCTGGTGGCTTTATCACTACCAAGTAATCTGCAGAGGCTACATGCAGTGAATGCTGCTTCAGTTCTGCCCTTCATCTGTGCCATTCAGTATAGCAGAGCTTTTTTTGCCTTTGGCTTCAAATCCCAAAACATAATTTAATTTCTAACCAAATTACTAAGGCACTAGTTAAAACCCTTTATCACAGCAGCCTGTAAAGTTAAAAGCGCTAATTCATAGTTCCTTCCCAGCTGCCTTATGTAGCTCATCACCCTGCTTATCAATCTCTTTGATGAGCATTATTAACTAAAATATGAAGTTTAAAAACAGAAGCAAATTTGTCTTAAAGTTTTTTCTTAAGTAAATCATTAACATATTACAAATATTCTATGCAAACTTGGCTCCTGCTATTATCCATGAAGCTCAGGAAATCCAAATATTTGTATTTCAACAAGGGACAGTAAACTGTATGTTTACAGCCAAAAGAAATGCCTCATAGTTCTTAACCTCAATTTTTTAAAAGTGTTTTTTTTCTCTATAATGTTTTTATTGGCTCTCAAAGACATTTTCATATTTAAACCCTAAATAAGCAAAATTGCATTAGATTATATTAACAAAGTATTTTTAGGTAACCATGCTTAAGACTTTTTAAAAATAGAACTTTTTCCTCAAAGTTTTCAGCTATAGAAAAAGTAGTTATGTATTCAAATCTTAATATAAGCTGCCACTTAAACCCCCAGGACTTTCTGCCACAGTGCTCTCAGAACTGTAGTGCATTTCTTAATATAGTAATCCTCTTTTTACCCATTGAATATTTACAAGTGTCCCAACTCAAAAAGTGGCCATATGTTATCTCTGGAAGGATTGCTAATACTAATCAGTTTTTTTAACTTTGAAACTAAAAATCTTGATATGGTAAAATGGTTCATAGCAAAAATCTTAGGGGAAAATGTTCCTGTTCCCTTTATTTTCAGGTTTAAAATGTTTCTAACTTGCTTGCAGCTTCTTTTATGGTAATGATCTTGAGGGAAAAAATAATATAATTTTCATATGAAGTTAAAAGTAGAGGCCTACTCTGACAGGGACCACATACTGCAGAGATCCCTGAACTCAGGGGTACTTGGCTCAACTGGATGTTAATCTGTATTGGATGAGGACCAATGAAAGAAAAACAAAAATGGCTTTAAAGCATGATGTTTCTTTTCTTAAGTTGTTTAATTATAGCTAAGCAGTGTCAAAGATGCTCCAAAGAAATGTGAAAGGACGTTTTATCACAGCACTTAAAATTCAAAACAACCATCCTCATGCCCCCCCCCAGAATGCTGCAGAGTATAAAACTTGAGACATTTTGTAGGATGCCTGACAAAGTGTAGCCTTTTATCTTGTTTCAGGATGCATATTTATTACAAGTACTCTAGTTAAATATTGAAAAGGTATATGCTGTAGTTTAGCATTTTGTCTTTGTAATTTACAGAAATTATTACAGAAAATAAACATGTTTCATTTTGCATCTGTGTTGTTGATTTTTGGTATGTGCAGAAGATCAGTTCAATAGCATTTCTGTGTGATGGTTTTTATATCCTGCATGATGCTCAGATTGTCGGAGTTATCCACACTGTATCCCACAGAGTCTCCTATCATTCTGTCTCCTGTTTCTTAGATTCACCTTGAGTTTCTCCCCAAGTATCAGACCCTTCTGGGTAGTCGTTACTGTCCTTTCATTGAAAATTGCCTTTCATTTGACCTGTAGTCTTTTTATCTGTTTGGAAACTTCCACTGGATCTTTCCCTTTCTTGTTCTCTTTTTTCTTTTCTTTCTTTAAAAAGTAAAACACGGTTTAAAAATTTTCAAATACAGAGGCTGGGGATTTAGCTCAATGGTACCACACCTGCCTCACAAGAGCAAGGTTGTAAGCTCGATCCCCAGGAACACACACATACACACACACACAAAATTTCAAATACATTCTGTTATTCCATTAACAAGGATTAAAATTCATTCCTGAAAAGAGTCTTGTAGGATGAATTCTTACATTTTTAAAACCATAAATAAAATACCAGATGCTGGTGAAATAAGTAATTATTTAAGTAATTAGCATTATCATAAAACACTGTAGCAAGAGTCCCCTTCAATCACAATGATTCTGCTACCTCTGCTTCAGCTTTTATTGCTGCTTTATACAGTACACTAAACTTGGTTTCAAACAAAACATGCGTGTGATTCTCAATGTTACCTAATTGAACCTTTAATGCTTTCTTCTTCCCTGACCAAAGTACAAATCAATAAAAATAATCCAAATGGTGTACAAAGTTATTTCTACTTTTAATTATTAATTAGATACATCTTAGAAGGAGAATTTACTTCAACTGGGTCCAACCTAATAACTGAGACAATTTCAGGGGGACACTCGGTTGGGCAGAAAACCTAAATAAACCCAAATCTGTCTTTTTAGATAGAAATGCCTTCTAAGCCAAAAAGAAACTTGCATTCCTTAGTGATTATATTTCGGGCTATAACTGTAGGACAAATGAAATAAACCAAAAATGAGCCCCATTCTTACTCTCGGCCCTTAATGCACCTTTCCAAAAGCAAGAGCTATTCACTTTCTTGTGTGATCTGAGATATTCTATGTAGACATGCCTTCCTTCCTCTTTAAACATCTCAAAGATTGTTCTTTCAGCATACATATTTCATTCTTTTTAACTGCTTGATAATGTTTCATAGTGCTGTATTTTATTTAACTAGTTCCTCACTGATGGGCATTTAATTTGTTTCTAGTGTTACCACAAAAATGATAGTTACTCTCCCATGTAAGTCTTTGCACACGTGATAATTTTCACATTGTCCCATTTTTACATATACTTCCACAATAATAGAGATTTAAAGAGTAGAATAGTGTACACATTATCACAGTGAAAAACAACAGACTTTTCTTTCATACTGGTTAAATAAGACACATTAATTTATTCTCCTTATATAAACTTTGCTAAGACAGGCTCCAAAGCCTTTAGTAACTAAACCCACCCATCCTAAGATAAACACATGATGTGTGGTGGAAATACTCCAAGAACATGTTGAAGTTCAGTCTTTTGAAATGTGACGTCACTCTGAAATGTTGGGTGCTGACAAAAGCAAAAACACGCTCCAACAAAGATGGGGGTAATGCTTTTTGAGCAAAATTAAGAGGCAGACCATAAGGCAAAGACTGAGCTGGAAAAAGCAGCTGATCAAGGTAACAGGACATTTGCAAAGGAGCACTATCTGTTCACTACCTCAGGAAAAGAGAGCTGTCTAGTGGCCTGTACTTGAGTGTGGTATTCTGGAAAAATAGTCAAACTCAACTCTGGTAGTCACCTTAAGTGGGCAATAGAAGCTGCCTGAGGAAACAAAGTAGGTTCCAACACATGGAAAGGCTTTTCTAAGAATTTAGCCCCAGAAGATGAGAAGTAGGAAGAGATATTCCTAAACATTTATTTTAAATTAGGCCCTAAAATGGTATATCCGAGAGCTGACTAGACATACTAAATTATAAAATGGTAAATGTATAGAAGACAGAAAAGGAAGACACAGCTAAACAAGCTTCTAATAGCTTCTAATAGAACAGATGGTGGTAAGGGCTCTCATAATGTTACCTCAAAAGTATTTAAAGCTATGCACTTAATTCAGGTTAAAAACACTGTGATACAATAAAGTCCCACCCCTCAAAGATGTCCATCTTTGTAATCCCCTGAAGCTATGGAGGTGGGCTCTAGACACTGCAAAAGTGTCACAATTTCCTCAGGGCTTCTAGAAAGAACCATTCTTGCTGACTTTTTGTCTTTGGCCAAATGACACCCATTTTAGACTTCTGGCTCACAGAATTATAATCAATCATTTTTCAAGTCAACAAGTTTGTAGTGACTTATTATAGCAACAATAGGAAACTAATATACACTGAGGGGCCATAATCTACTAATCCCAAAGATGATTAAGTTTAACAAATGTTACTGGTAAAGGAAACAAGGGGGGCGTAAGGAAAAAGGAAAACACAAGAAATTGAAATAAAGCTTTTGTAAATGGGGAGGATGAAGGAAGGGAGGGGAATGGGGGAAAGGAATTAAAATATACTATATACAAGTACAAACCCCTATGATGAGTGTCATCAATATGTATCACAAATATGCACCAATAAAAAAATAAATTAAAAAGCCAGGCGTGGTGGTGCACACCTGTAATCCCAGCACTTGGGAGGCTGAGGCAGGAGGATCACTGTGCGTTCGAGACCAGCCTGGGCTACATAGTGAGTTCTAGGTCAGTCTCAACTACACAGTGAGATGCTGTCTCAAATAATAATAATAATAATAAGTTAAAAATAAATTATTGCATACATGCTATTTGCCCTGTGTTGAATGCTACAGGCTCAATGGTGAGAATAGTCTCTGCTTACAAACTTGCAGCTGCCCATATGGCCTGTTGCTTCACACACATTGAATATTCACCGTGGGGTGGATTTATTCCAAATGAGGACCTATGTGGCCTGATGCCCTGTACTTTACCCAGTCTCCTGTGACCTTCACATTTTTACTGCCCTTTTGGTCTTTCCTAACCCCATTAAATGTGCCCTGTTTCAGAGACATTGTACTTTCTGTTAACACCCTAGAATGTTCTCCTACATATTTGCATAATGTGTTTCCTCATTTCCTTGAGATCTCTGCTCAGTGTTAAGGAGAGGTCCTCCTTAGCTCCAAAATGAGCTTGGGGACAGGACATTGTGGGAGTTCAGAAATAAAGCATCTAAACTGTCTTGAGAAGCCAAAAATGTATTCTAAGAGAATATATATTTGGATTTACTCCTCCTTACATTTCACAGTTCCTGGGGTTGAAACATTTTGGAGATAAACATATTCAGATTTGGAGTTAAAGGAGTCTAGAAGTATCCTCTACATATGCTTCCTTTGTGTGACTTCTGCAATAGCAATGCTTGCCTCTTCTACCTTGATGCTAAGGGAATGTAAGTGTACATGTGTAAAAACACTGTCAGCCAGCATACAGGCATTCCATTCCAGAGCAAGTGAACAAACCTAAAATACATACGCAACAACTACAGTTAACATTTGTAAGACAGGGTTAAGATGGCAAAAGAAGAAAAGTCTCACAGAGGTTTGGAACTTGAGTCCTTAAGGTTCTCTTTGATTTATAATTTTATAAATATGAACAACATGCTCTGGTCAGAGATAATTAAAAGGAGGCAGCATCAGAGTATTGGCCTTAGGAATGGGAATTCAGTGTCTCCCGGTGTCACACTTCTCTTCATAGTGATCAACAGAAGCAAGTGCTTAAGAAACACTATATTCTTTAATATACTTAGAAGTAACACCATAGCCATTTGCTAGAAAGAACACTAAAACTTTTTCAGTTTCATGATTCCCAATTTAAAAAGAAATGTTCTGAAAATGGAAAGACACACTTTGCTCCTGGGTAGGAAGACCCTGTATAATGAAAATGGCCATCCTTCCAAAACTGTTATATGGATTCAAAGCTATCCCAACTGATATTCCAGTAGCATATTCCATAGCATATTTCACAGAACTAGAGAAAACAATCCAAAACTTTATTTGGAACAAGAAGAAATGTAGAATAGCAAACTCTAGGAAACAAAGACAAGGTAGGGATATCCCCAAATTGAAATTATACTACAAAGCTACTGTGATAAAAACAGCATGATACTGGCAAAGAAACCTCATGATCAATGGAACAGATTAGAAGATTCAGAAACAACTCCAGACATAGTCAGCCACCTCAGCCTGATCCATAAACAGTTTTGGAAGTATGTCCATTTTTAATATACAGGGTCTTCCTACCCAGGAACAGGGGATGTCTTTCCATTTCAAAGGAGCCAAACACCCTTGTGGAGGAAAGATAGCCTGTTTAATAAATGGCGTTGGAAAAACTGGGTTTCAACTTGCCAGAGATTAAAACTAGACCTGTATCTCTCACCATGCACTAAACTAAAATTGAAATGGATTAAAGATCTAAATATTAAAACAGAAACACTAAACCTGCTGGAAGAGAGGTTAGGTAGAACTCTTGAAGACATTGGCATAGGAAAAGACTATGAACAAAAGCTCAGTCATACATGAACTAGCACAAAGAATCAACAACTGGGATCTCATATATTAAACAGCATCTGCACAACAAGAGAAACCACCAACAGAGTGAAGAAACAACCCACAATTAGGGGAAAAAAATTTACCAGATATTCTTCAGACAAAGGTCTACTATCTAGAATATATGAACTTTTAAAAAATCAGACCTCTCAAATTTGAAGACCCAGTCCAACAATGGCCATCTGAAATGAACAGACATTTTTCTCAGACAGTAAAATAGAGATAGCAGATAAACATATGAAAAATGTTCAACATCACTGGTCATCCAAGATATACAAATGAAAACAATGCTGAGATTCTACCTCACTCCAGAAAGAATTGCTATGGAGAAATCAACCAATAAATGCTGCCAGGGTTGTGGGGAAAAGGAACCCTTCTCCACTGTTGGAGGGGATGTAGACTGGTACAACTGCTGTGGAAATTAGTTTGAAGATTTCTCAACTAGATTAGAGGCCCCAACTGACCCAGCTATTCCCCTGCTGGTATTTTCCCAAAAGAATTAAAAGCATCATACCGCAGCGATGTACACACACCCATGTTTATAGCAGCAGTTTGTAATAGCTAAATCTTGGAAACAACCCAAATGCCATCAACTGGTGACTAGACAAAGATGTCAGTTTTTTATATATATAAAATGGAGTACTACTTAACCATAAAGAATGAGAAATTAGAGATATTTATAATTAAATGGATGAAACTTGAGGCCATACTCAAGTGAAATAAATAGGACACACATCTAAATATCAAATAATTTCTCTGGTGTGAGAAACTGAAAGTGCTAATAAAGATCAAAATGTATAATAGATAATGTAAAATAGGTCCAAAGAAGAAGGGGAAGTGGAGGGACAGGGGAAAAGGAGGAAGGAAAAGGAAAAAAAAATATGAGAAAAGGAAAAAAAACCAGAAACAATGTCTTTGTAAATGGGAAGGAATGTAGGGGTTAGAGAGGTTAGGGTAATGGGCAAAAATAAGAACCATGATATATCATGTACAGGTAAAACTCCCAATGATAAATGTCATCATATTGTATACCTAAAATGTACCAATAAACTTAATGAATTAAAAAAGAAGAAAAGTGTTAGAAAACAGGAAAGAGATTTTCCCCCTTTTTATCTCCCCAAATGTTAGACACTATTTATAGAATCACAAAAATCCTTTCAGGATTGGAATTAGAATTGGAAAGGGCTTAGGAAATCAAGTGGTACAAGTACACTACTCACTGTATACTCAAGAAACTGAGATTCATGTGACTTGTCCCAAGCTACCTGGAGTTAAAACCAGAACTTTACCATTTTGGAAATGAGTTCATTGATTTTTATCATTGTTCCATACTAAAGATTCTCTTAAAGAATTAACAGTGGAATATTTACAAATTTTTGCCTCAGGAGCTTGAGGGTACAGATTTAAACCTTGAGTTAACAGACCATCCGGGTTTAGTTAAGAGATATTTATGTAATCTCATTTAAATACTTCTTCAGTCCTAGAAAAGCATTTTTGGCAGCCATGGATCAATGGCAAATAAACTTCTACCCTAGAACTGAAAAGAACAAACACTGAATGTAAATTCCATCTTTTAAGATCTCAGTAAACATTTTCCTTCTCTTTCTACTTAACCTGCTCTATTTTGAAAGAGGCATATCCGCTCCAACTTGACTTATCACGGGCCCATTCAACTGTAGGGTTCGTGATAAGACCTTTAATACAAGGGTGCCAGAGCCACCAGTGACTTTCATTTGGGTATGGATCAGTTTACCCTGTGGCTGTGCACATTACTCTGTGTGTAAGAATACATGACTGCATAATTTAGGGCTGTGTGGTATTTGCCAAACGTGACCACCTCTGGTAATCTCAGGGGCCCACTTTGTACTTTACTCACTTCCTGGACTCTGCCTTCCTAAACAAGTCAAACTCCACTCTTACCAGGACAGGCAACCCAGAAGCTGCCAGCACTGTCAGTGGTTACTATAACGGGAGCCTGTTCCTCAGGGTATCAGACGAGCAGATCACCACAGGTTCCTGAGGTGCACCAAGGGGAGTGCAGGGCTAGCGGGCTCTTGCTTGTCGCTGAATACCGCTGGCAAGTGTCAGTTTTACACAAGTGGGGCCCTGAAGCTCGACCTTTCTTCTCATCTTTTAACGGATTTTATCCTCTCTTCCTGCATCTTCATCGCGGTAAAAAACGTCCCTATGCGACAAACACGACTGGACAATTCAGAGCAAAGAGGCAAGTTCTGGGACAAGCCTAAGGTGGCGGACGTCACGCCCTCGCGGACCGGACAGCACAGGAGGTGGTGGGAGGTGCAGACCGCCTGGGCCGCAGCCAGCTTCCCGGGCCGGAAGTGCCTCGCGTCGCTACGGCTACAGGCGCGCGCACTCCGGGGCGCAAGGCATTCGGTTCCCATGCCAACGCCATTGTAGTCCGGGCGGCAAGCGCCAAAAGCGGACCTCTTACCTCTTTCCGCCGTGGCGCCCCGAATGAAGTTGGCGGACGCCGGGACTCTGCGTCGCCCGCCGTAGCTGACCAGCGGGGCAGAGGAGCTGCAAAGCCAAGCCCAGTTCCGGGGCGTGAGCAGCTTCGCAGCCGTCCGCCAGGTGCGCGGGCCCGCCGCGACCTCAGACTCGGGAAGCGCGGAGCGGAGCTCGCTCTCGTCCTCTGGGTATCTGAGGTTAAAATAAATAAATAAAAATTTTCACATTGTAATGCATAATATTTATTTGAGCACATATTATGTGCCTATTCCCTACCAATCCTGTGAAGAAGCTAATGATGTTGTACATTTTAATTTTTTTTTCTTTTTTTCTCACTGAGTTTATTGGTACTTTTTAGTCATACAGTACAGTTACATTCATCATTGGGATCTTGTACCTTTACATGACAGGTCTTGGTTCTCATTTTTTCCCCTTGTCCCTGCCCTCCCTTCACCCCCTCCTCCCCTCCCTATTTACAAAAATTTTATTTCCCTTTTTTCGTTTTCTCAGATTTTTTTCTGTTCTTTAACCATTCCTTTATACCAGAGTTTCTCAACTTATATACTATTGACATTTGGGGTGGAATAACTGTTTTTGGAGGCCCATCGGAAGCATTGTAGGAGATTTAGCAGCATCCCTGGCTTCTACCCACTAAATGCTTGTATCACTGCCCCAGTCATGACAACCAAAAATGTCTCCAGACATTGCCAGATGGCTCCAGGGAGTAAAATAATTCTTAGATGAGAAACATTATTCTCTTTCTTATCAGAAATATATAATGTGGGCCACACATATGAGCTCCATACTAAAAATAAAATGAAACAGATGAATTTAATTTTAATGCTATGTTTACTTATATATCCAGAAAATCATTATATAAAATGATTAAAGAAATATTTTGTATTGTTTTCTTCATGGTTAAGTCTTCAGAATTCCATATTTCACACTAAATACATCTCAGTCTGACTCATCACATTTTTTGTGCTTCACAGCCACATGTGGCTACTGATCATTGGACAGCATATTTGTACCTCACCTCACAAAATATCATGAGCTTAAGTGCTATATAAAAATATGGAGTTGGAGTGGGGGTGTAGCTCAGAATATAGGGTACTTGCTTAGCATATACAGTGACTAGAAAAAATGAAAAATAGAGTTCACGGTAGAAGAAATGTTACTCTCTTGTCCATATGACCTGAAATGTCTGTATGTCTGGATTTGTTATTTGCAGTGGGCCTCTGGATGGATGTTAGCATGTCCTTTTTAAAACTTGGTATAAAGGGTGGGCAGGGACAAGGGGAAAAAATGAGAACCAAGGTGAAGGTACAAGATCCCAATAATGAATGTAACTGTACTGTATTCCTAAAATGTACCAATAAACTCAATTTAAAAAAAAATAAAACTTGGTATAAAGGGTGGGCAGGGACAAGGGGAAAAAATGAGAACCAAGGTAAAGGTACAAGATCCCAATAATGAATGTAACTGTACTGTATTCCTAAAATGTACCAATAAACTCAATTTAAAAAAAAATAAAACTTGGTATAAAAGGTCACACTCAACATTTGTTTTCCTGTCATACTTTTGTAAATTTCCTTTTAAAAATAAAACAATAACACTCATTACCTCCTATTTTTATTGTTTCAAGTTTAATTTAGAAAATATATCCCTAATCCACAATTGAGAAAGTCTTCAATTTTATCTTGTTTGAACATTCTGACTCCATGTGCCTCTCATGTCCATAGGTCACAGCAAACCAGAACTCCAGAATACCAACAAACAGGTGAATTGTATCCCACTTGTGGGTCTGGAGAGAGTGAAGAAGACATTACAGTCCAGAAAGAGACGATGGCTATTTGACTGCATGTCTTTTCCTGAAGAGAAATTAGCTCAGTCCAAGAAGAAAGTAGCTCAACTGATTAAGGAAAAAATGGTAAAGCAAACAAAAAATTTACTAGATTTTTGTTCCAATTAAAAATACGCCCATTATTGGAGAAGTTCTGCCTTCACTACAGAGTCAAGCATGTAAAAGAAAATGCTATATTTCTTGGTTAAATGGAAGAAAACAGAGTAGAACATAGTTGGGAAGCCAGCCTCTTTCTAGTTCCATGTGGGGTTCACTATTCATTTGTCCTTGGAGAGTTTGTGCTTCTAGTGTTAAACTAAGAGTTTATATTTGCTTGGTTCTATTACCATTTGAAATGGCCAGTCAGATAAAAGATGAGAGTAGGTAAAGCTAAGCACTCAGGGGGAAGTAAATAGAAGCACTTTTTTTTTTAGGATTCAAGAGTAAAGTACAGTCAACTGGACTTGATAGAGTTTGGATGTGTGGTGGGAAGGAATAAGAAGAAGAAAAAAAAAGCTGAAGGAAATTTAGTCCTACCTTCCTGTGATGGGCTAGAGTTTTCCTCCTTTCCTTTTTGCCCTCTACAGAATACCCAAGCAAACAGGGAGCTGATGCGATGTGTCATCCTCTCTCAGATTATTTTTGGACAGGAATACTGGAGATACTCACAGGCTTTGACCAACCTGGCTTATGGCTACCTGACACTCAGAGGTACTTGGCTTCCCCAGATGAGTCTGGATAGGCCAGGCTGTGAGACTGAAATGAGCCTATGCATTAACCTGTATGTTGGTGGGGATGACTGGGAAAGCACTTAACCAGTCCCAGCTCATACCTCATCAAGAGAAAATAGAATCTGTAGATAGGCCAGACAGTGTATCTTAAGAATAAAGTTAATAATGCTGATCATGATAGTTATTGAGTATTTGGCAAGGTGATTTTATTTAGTCCTCATAATATTCCTTGGAGAGAGTTACTATTATTATCCTTCATTTATAGATGGGACACTAAAATTGTTTCTTGGTCTTTTGGCTAAGTTCAAGTGTAGATGAGACAGTAAAACAGTGGACAAAGGATGATGTCTAGAGTTCCAGTCACAGATCAATAGGGGAGGGGGCAGACAGATGTGTGTACAGAACGTCATGGAGATAGAGGCAGATCCAGTAGTAGGACTTGAACTCCAATGGTTAAATTCAAGTTCCTGGAAGGAAAAGGCAGGACCTTTATCTTTTCTGGAAGATATCTTTATAAGAGTACAAGATAGAATCCATTTTCTGAAACCTAAGGGAAAGCTCTGTGAGGGTAGGGACTTTACAGTAGGAGCTCAATAAATATTTGTTGACTGATTGAGGCACAATTTTCTACAAGGATCATGGCCAGCTCTAGGTCTTCTGCTCTTTAACCAAGCATAACTCCCAATATGGATTGTATTCCCTTCTACAACGGAACTCAATGTCTTATACTCATATTCATATGCTCTTTGTTAAAATGCTGCTGCCTCTGAAATAGAAACCCCAGGTGAGTAGGAACTAGATTTTGTTTATTCTAGAAGAGTCCTTTGCACCAATATGGATCAGCACAATATTATTTGCTAAAAATGAACTGCTAGCATAGGACTTTAAGTATCTCTTGTGTGTCATTCTGAGGTGGCTTAAGGGCCTAAGGAATTTGAGGAATATAAGAGAAAAGAACCAATAACCCCCTAGGCCATAATGAATCTAAATATCAAAAATTAGAACTTTTGATAAAGTTAAAATTGAACTCATGTTTGAGTTGTTAATCTCAACATGTTTTCCTTCTTAGACACTTTTACACTCATTTGTTTTTAATGTAACTTTAGGTTCTTTGGCTGTTAATGTGAAAAGATCATACATGGTTGACATTGGGGACAGTGGCGCTATGAGTCATAGTACGGTCACAGTGAAGTCATTTTTAGAATATATGTTGTGTCCTGAGAGAAGTCTGTTATGGCTAAGGAGAAGAGGCAGAGAAAGCAGACTCCTTATAGTTGGATTCTAAGCTGAGTCAAAATAGATAAGCAGCTCATATCACAAAAAATGGTGATAACATCCTTTTCTCCCTGCTACACGAATGAAGAACTATATTTGGGTCATGAAGTTGGAGAAGGAAAATGTTTTCCCATAAAGGAGGGTTTCTTGTTCGTTTTTCCTAAATAGGAGAAACACTGTGGTAGATGAAGTGCTCTCACGATATTCCTGTGCCTGGACAACACCCTGCCTAGAGTTTTTGTAGAATGGATGATTGTGACCTTTTCTTGAGAATAGCCTCTGATTTTGGTAGTAGTCCTTGCTTGGTTTTTTCCCTTATACTTTTTTTAGTGTCTACTCCAAGGGAAAAAAAGAAAGAAATCTTTGAAAAGTTGCAAACCTTTAAGAGTGATGAAGTACTTGGTGAGCTTCTCTTAGTTTTGTTGTTAATAATCCTGTAACTGCTTTAAAATGGACAGAATATATGATAGCCTCCCATGTAGGCAGGACATGTCTGTGTTCAGCCTTGCTGTACATGTTTTATAGCTAGAAGATGTGCTTTCCTCATGTCCCTGTTTTGGAGATGAGGGACAAACCCAAAAGCTGACTTTTCTCAATAAACAGTCTCAATGAGTATGTAGTGAGAAACGTGTACATAAAATGAAGAGCACTTTGGGAAATATAATATGCAGAAACCCTCAAGGAACTTACAAAAATGAGCCACCAAGGGAACCAAATACAACAGAAGGCATTATAAAATAAATACCATGTAATTTATCTAAATAAAGGGCTTTGGAAAGACTGAGTGAAATAATTCCTGGCTAAAATGCTAAGGACTATAACAAATGAATAGTGTTTGAATGATGGAAGAAAAGTGGGGGTTATTTCTGATGAAAAAGAAGGGTAGGGGACAGAGGCACTTGGAAGAATTGTGTGATATCTGTTCAGAAGCAGTAAGAAGCCCTGTCTGCCTAATATTTGGACTGGTAAGATGAACCTAGAAAGGAGGCTGCACTCGAGAAATCATGGTAGGATTTTAAATACAAGCTAAGGAATTTGTTATTTATTTGGTAGACAGGGAGAACTATTGGAGATTTTCTAGCAGGATGATAAAAATATCAAAGCATATTTTTGGCAAGGCTAATCTAGAAATGCTACAGTGAAAACTATCTCAGTCTTGTAGGTCTAAAACTAGGCTGGCTGAGCATGGTGGTGTACACCTGTAATCTTAGTTCTCAGGAGACTGAGGCAGGAGGATTGCAAGTTCAGGGCCAGCCTAGGCTTCATAATGATTTCAACACCAGCCTGAACTACATTGCCAGACCCTAAAGACAGCTACAGCTACACTGATGGACTGATGAAAGAGAATTAACGAGAAGGCAAGCATTCAAGAGTCTATGAAGGACAGATGTATTTATTTTTAATTAGAAATCCCAGGGAGAGGGAAAAAAGAAAAAGAAATCCCACTCTGGAAACCTAAATATGGCTATTATTATTTGCTACATTATTTATGATTAAAAAGATTAGAAACAACCAAGTGTCTGTCAATAAGAGAACTAATTCATACACAAATGGATATGTGCTGCTTTTTAAATGAGCACATAGAACCTCTTTATTCTACTAGGGAAAGGTCTCCAGGATGTATCTTTATGGAAAAGGGTGTATACTGTATGGCAGTGTTATAACAGGGCTCCTCTTGTGAAAGAAAGAGGGCAAGAAAAACTAAGAATTTATGATTCAGTGAGAAATATACAAGAATGAAATAAAATGAGAATGTTATGTGGAAGGGTGCTTATGGTGAAAGGTAGCAAGATTAGAAGTGGCACCTCCCACTGTTTACCATTTCATATAATTTAACCTTTTTACCGTAGAAATAGATGACCTATTCAAAAATGATCATTAAAAGGAATGCATCATGAAGGCAGAATTGGGAAGACATGCTGTTCAACTTGAGGTTATGGAAAAGTGATGCCCAAAGATGACCCAGAAGTTTTAGTTCCCTCAAGATGCCATTTTCAAAGATAAGTAAGTAATGAAAGGAAGTACACAGGGAGGAGAATATTGAGTCCAGTTTTGGATGTATTGATTTTGCATTGCAATAGAGAAACCCTCTAGTACCTTTTTAATTGGTGCTAGAAATTTGGGACCAAACCTTGAGAGGAAAAACGGACAAGTCATAAGCATAGAGGACTGAAATCAAAACTAGAGAAATTGAAATTAGAATTATGGAAGCCAAGGTTGGCATTACGGGAGTTGGTGAAATTTCTGAAAAGCAAAGCAAGAAAAAGAAACTTCAGACTTGAAAACGAACATTAATAGAAGGGAACAAAGGACCCTGGTAAAGCAAAAAAGAAATCAGTTAGAGAAGTGCTGTAAAGCAGAACCAAGTTGTTTAGTAACTCAAGATCAAAAAGTAAAATATCTAATGCTGCAGCAAAGGGGAAACTGAGGAAAACTGTGGTGAGATTTACTTATTAGGAAGTCTTTGAGGGTCCTCAAGAGAACTGTTTCCCCCAGTATGGTGGGAGTGGAAGCTAGATCTGAAAAGTCAGGTTTGATTTAGCTTACATCTCAAAGAATTCATTACATGGTTGGCAAGGTCCAAGGCAAGAGCATCATTGTGGAGGGACAGTGTTAGTTACAGAGAAAAGCTGCTTACCTCTTGGCAGCCAAGAAGCAGAAAATGAAGAGAGGAAGCAGGGAAGGAGATACTGTGTATGACCTGAAGGCAAGCCCCCAACCTCCTCCAGCCAGGCCCCACACACTGCGCATTTAGCTTTGAACTCATCGAGGGGTCAGTTCACTGATGAATGTATCCCCATGTAGTAGTACTCCTGTGATCCAGTCACCTACCAAAAGTCCCATCTCTGAATACATGAAACTTTTGGAGGACATTCTAGACCTAAACAATAACATGAAGTGAAGGTAATTTTATGAGCAGGAGATACAGTAGGATATTTTGCAAAGGAAGGAGCAGTTAGAACTTGAAAGTTTAAAAATGGGTATTTGATGGAATGGGGTTCTTAAGAGAACATGAGACATTTGTAAAGCAAAGTATGCAAATGGTGGTTGCTTGGGCGAGACAGATCCTAGTAGTGGAACTCTGTTGTTGACTGTGCAGGAGATAAACCTACAGGAGCTAATAATACATTAGCTGAGAAAAGGCAGGCAGAGACCACCAGAGCAGTTTGGCACCTAGTGGTATGCTGTTTAAAATTGTTTAGAAAGGAGAATAGAGTAATATGGACATGTAGTTTCTTGTTGTTTTGCTTATTAATGAAGCAATAAATTAGCCTGTTATGACTGGGAACTTTCCAGGTATTCCGGGATCTGTTGAAAGTATTGCAAAATTCAAAAAAAAGACATCTAAGTCATAACTGTCTTCTCTGTGTACTTGGGGCAAAAAAAAAAAAAAAAAAAAAAAACTTGGAAAA